GAGAACATTCACTGAAAATATGAAAAGATTTGGTTGAATTCTTACAGCAGTAGAGCTTTATACTTCTGACCATTTTTTAGGCGATTTTTGGTCATTTTTGCAAAAAAAACAAGGAGGGGTGGTGAAATCCCCCCAGTTTAACCAAATTTCCTTAAACTTAGACTGAAGTAGTTTTGGGTGGACCCCTTTAAACTGGCAAAGTTTCATTGAAATCGGTGAGATGGCTTGTGCCACCCCCGCCTGGTCCTATCGTGGATGCACTCTTAAATATCGCTCGATCACGCATATTTAATCGCAGGAAGCCAATATCATGATCGTGATTAAAATTCGATTAATTGTGCAGCCCTACCCACTGCTCCCCCTACCACAACCATCACTTACCAGTCCCAATTTGCCTCAGACATTGAATGCAGATGGACAACTTACTACATGGTTTGGCAGAGTCATTAGGCCAGTGTACCATTTGACTGAGTCCATGGTACAACTTGAGTCTATTCTTAGGGATGGGCCAAGCTGTCCCACACTGTTATTCATGTGTGAGATGTGTAACTCACATCAGTATCGTGTGGCCACAGATAATTTCATGTTTAACGATCACATTCGGAAGTTCAATTTGTTAACATATGTTTTATTTTTGTAGGGAAACATTTCCTTAACTGCGATTGACTGGAGGATTTTTTTTAACCTTCTTGGTTAAATGCCCCTTTTGCTATTGTGCTATTCTTGCAGGTCTACTGGAAACACTGAAATGCATACTGTTTCAATGGCCTATGTTGTCTTTCTCAGGCATTGGGTCTGCTCATCACAGATGCCCAGATTTTGGAGATGGAGACCCATGCAGAGGACATTGACTTTGTCATGGCAGCTGAAGAGGAGCGTAAGCTCAGGCATGATGTCATGGCTCACGTCCACACCTATGCACATTGCTGCCCCACTGCAGCTCCCATCATTCACCTTGGAGCCACCTCATGCTATGTGGGAGACAACACTGTAAATATGATTGTTTTTTGATTACATAAACAATCCAGTATTTTATTGTAAATTCTCAGCAGTGAGAAAACACTTCTAATCGAGAAGACAATTAGTTTTATTCTCAATTACAAAATGCTTTTCTGTAAACCCCCCTCTCTTGGCATTAGTTAAACCCCTAAAAAACTGTCTCTGTTCATCAGAATTACATGTTTAGAAGTAATCTCATCATGCCCTAGATGTAACTCTCCACTTTTGCCTCCTTTACTATGCACGGATCCTGTATCCTTTTATCTTTCTCCACCCCACTCTACCTCTTACTGCTCTGTTGTCTGTGTCTGTGCGTGTGTGCTCATTAAGTTATAAGCAGTGTGTGTGATCTGGTAGTTTTGCTTGCCTCGGCTCTGTTCAAACACTGTTCAAGTACTCTCACTATGCAATGAAAAGTTGTAAAATTCGAGAGATTCAGCCATGCCTTCCATGTTTGACTTGGAAACCAGTTCTGATGAAGTTTAATGATAAAAAACGCTTACAAAAGTTGACAGAACTGGTTCCTTAGGTATGTCACATGAAACCCTGGCTCTGGCCTGTCTGCATCAGTGTTTTTGGAGTGTTATCGGTATGCTGTAGTTTTAGGATAGAAATGTTCAGCCATGGAGTTGACTGCATATTTTGGTTTGATGTCTTTTATCATTAAAGAAACACAGTATAGACATTTAACAAGGTTAAAAACGACATTTACGTTGGAGAAGAGCTTTAATGTTCTGTAAGTTGTTTTGTCTTTATTCCTTAGGACCTCATTATGCTGCGTGATGGCTTTGACATCCTCTTGCCTAAGGTGAGGATCAGCTCATAGGAACAAAGCATGCACACTAATCCAGTTGTGCATCTGTTCAGTTTGTAGAAATAGGGGGATAATAGCTTTGTTTTGTTTTATAAGCTTCTATTGTATCATAAGAATTCAACAATGTAGAAATAATCACCATAGCAATTTAATTTTTACTGTTTTCACATTGCATGCTGGATTCAAACCAAACTGAAATTTAAGATGTCAGGATTGCATGAGCAGTCAGAACAGTGTATTATGTCATAAGTCACTGTTAATTCCCTTTTTTCTTTTTTATTATAGCTGGCGAGAGTCATTGACAGGCTGGCAAACTTTGCAGACAACTATGCTGACCTACCCACACTTGGCTTTACACACTACCAGTAAGTCTGAATAACGCTGCACCTGCAACATGAAATGGTTTAATATCTATATCAGTTTGTGTCAGTTTGCATCAGGTTGCCAGAGTTTTCTAAAAAGTACTTTTCCCATATTCTCTCTTACACAAGTTGTTCCTCTTTCCTTCTCTCTGTACAGGCCTGCCCAGTTGACCACAGTCGGGAAGCGAGCATGTCTATGGCTGCAGGACTTGGTCATGGACATGCGGAACCTACAGCGAGCCCGTGATGACCTACGTTTCCGGGGGGTCAAGGGGACCACTGGCACCCAGGCCAGCTTTCTACAACTCTTTCAGGGGGACTATGACAAGGTATGAATAATCATTAAGTAATTAGTCCACATACAAGTGATGAGGAATATTTTTTATATTATTATTTTTTATTTTTTAAATTTAGAGTCCTTGTAAATAAATGTGTTATTTCTCCTTTTTGGCTTCCAGGTTGAGGAGCTTGATAGGATGGTGACAGAAATGGCTGGCTTCAGAAAGTAAGCTGTGTATCCAACTCACGCCTCCACAATTCAGTATAGGCCATATTCTCCCACTCTAAAGGAAGCATATTTAGTTACAAAAGACAAACAGGAATGATTTAAAATACAGGGTATATCAGAGTTATTGTGTGAACCATTAAACATTAGTAAGAGAGACTAACTTTGTAAGTAACCCTCATTATGTCATTTCCATCTTACGCAGAGCCTACCTGGTGACTGGACAGACATACAGTCGTAAAGTGGACATAGATTGTCTATCCAGCCTGGCCAGTTTGGGAGCTAGTATTCACAAGGTAAGCTGGACAAACTCAGAATTTTCTACAGAATAGTTGTGATTTCTTTTTTCTTTTTTCTTTTTTTTCTTGTAATAATGAGGATTGTCTTTTATTTTAGAATACATGCATTGAGTTTTTTTTCTCCCCCCCCCTGCATTATANCTCTTGGCCTCGTCCTGGTGAACTGAACAGAGAACGTGTGACTTCCAATCCTCTATGCTCGACGCAGCGCAGCTTGAATCAGGCTGTAACTCTTCTTGTTTATCAGGACAGAAAATAGATAATTTTACAGCCAACGCTTTTCTCCTTTTTAGGCGTATTAAGCAACCAAAGTTGAGTCGTAAGCGAATCAATTTATTTTCAGTCGAACAAAGTCTTTTTGATAAAGTTGTCTGTATCAAGATGTGATGTCAGGTGTGCAAGTTTCAAGCAAATGTATTATTCCATTATTAGACAAACATAAGCCATTCTTTTATTATAAAATCATTCTCACATTCAAATACAGACAAAGAAAGCATTTTGATAGTGTTCTATGACTCCTGGTTTGACTTAGCGAAGAGTGAGTCCCGTCACATAGTTCACTTTTACCATAACAGAGGTCATTTTTAAGCAGCCGATTCTTATTTGTATGGCTAAGGTCAAACAAAAGCTTTCAAAATGGTTCTATTTCATTAAAGTTTATGGTGTGTAACCATTTTGCAGCATTTTCTGTCTGTTGCTATGCCATTGTTACCGAATTGGTACGATATAATGAAAAAAAATGTACGCGGGTACCTTGTGGTGGGCAAAGTATTTGTTTTTATTTAAGCAATTAAATATAATTGGTTCTATTTCATTAAAGTGTATGGTGTGTAA